TTAGGGCTTAGGGCTTATAGGGCGTAGGGTTACACCTAACACCTAAACCTGAAAGTTCAACCTCAGGGCAGACCGCTTGCTCAAGCGACGGTTGAAGTTCGACTCGCTGCTCCTTGTCCCAAAAGCAGGGCTCACCGCGACCTCCGGTTTAGGGTTTAGGGCTGGAAATTTGGGGTTTAGGGTATATTCGGGTTCCAGGTTCAGGAATTGGGAGTTTAGGGTTAGCTGCCCTTCCTTAGCTTGGTTCCTCTTTTGGTAGAGTTCGGGGTGTTTGGCCTCTGCTCCCCTAAGGGTCGCAGCACTTTGCGCAACCTCAAAATGCAGACAAAGGCAAGTCCAAGAACCGGGACACCTGCAAGGCCTTTGTCATAGGCAAAGGCCCCCCTGAGTCCAAGAGCAAAGGTAAGGGCAAGGACTCAGTGAGCCCGGAGCCGGCAAAAACACCACCACTTTGGCCTCCCCGCAAAAGGGAAGGGCCGTCCCAGGAGGAGCCCGCTCGTCCTGTTAAGGCTAAGGCGGCTCCAGCAGTTCTGAAGGAGGCGCCGGCGGAACAGTACAGCTACTACTCGTCGTCGACGGGTACAGAGGAGCCGAAGGCGAGTGCACCACAGGATTTCTGAGACTGACCCTACACCCTAAACCCCAAAGAGACGAAAGGGCTCTCCCTAAGACGGTTCGGACCCTTCTCCGGAGAACCTTGACCCTTAAACCCCAGTATAGGGGCCTGAATAATTCCCTATACTATTTTTTGGGGGGTTTCCGAATAGTAGAATGGGCCCCCGAACCCTATTCTATTTAGGGCCCTTGCATCAAAACCCTAAACCTATGGTCCGGGACAGCCAGTGTTTCTGGCAAAGCAAAGCGACGTCGCCTCGGAAGAGGTATCTGGGGATCCAACAAACCTACCGTTCTTAGGGCCCTGCCGCGAATCCTAGTTACCTATAGTAGAAGCCTAAAAGTTGGAAACCCAATAGCCTCAATCCTTAGGAGACATGCAAAGGGAATCCCAGCACTAATTGTCCTTAATGAGGTTTCCAACTTTATGGGGTTTAAAACCCTAAACCCTAAACCCTAAACCCTAAACCCTAAACCCTAAACCGGTTTACCATAGTTTATTCAGCATGGGTTCTTGCAGCGTCAGTGCCGGAACTAAGCTTCCACCAAAGGCCAGAGCCGAACGCTGTACCTGGAAGTCCCGAACACGCAAGGATGATTTCGGGCTTAGGGTTTAGGGTTTAGGTTTAGGGTGTTTAGGGTTTAGGGTTTAGGGCGTTTAGGGTTTAGGGTTTAGGGTGTGTCTGAGGTTGAATGCCAGAGTTACGAAAAGCGTTTTGTTTCAAGATCAAGCTAAACCGCCTTTAACTCACAAGGCAACCTTAAACTCATAGCCTCAAATCTTAAAACATACCCTCAAACCCTATACCAGCCCTTAAGCCCTAAACCTTAAACCCTAACCCTAAACCCTAAACCCTAAACCCTAAACCCTAAACCCTAAACCCTAAACCCCTAAACCCCAAACCAAGGCAACTTGCAGCTGTGAGGAGAGGTCTTGCCTCGGCTACTTAGACATGCTTTGGCGGTTTACCGGGATGGACTTTTTGTGGTTTAGGGTAGGGTTTAGGGTTTAGGTGGTTTTTGGTGTGCAGGGTTCGGAAAGTTTGCGACGTCTGATTTGAGGTTTAGGGTTTGAGGACTTTGGGATACTAGGGTTCAGGGTTGCGAGGTTTAGGGGCTTCGCGTTGCGTGTGTATAGATCACGACTTCAATGGGTGTTCTGAGAGTTTTGAGTTTTTTTCTTAGGACGGGGTTGATGGTGTGCACTTTAGGTAGGCTTGGGGCTGCAAAACAGGAATCTGGGGTGAGTTTGGAGATTTTTTGGTTTTTGGTGTGCAGGGTTCGGAAAGTTTGGAATGTCGGACTTGAGGTTTAGGGTTTGGGGTTTAGGGTTTGGGGTTTAGGGTTTAGGGTTTAGGGGTTTAGGGTTTAGGGTTTAGGATTTAGGGTTTAGGGTTTAGGTGTTGCGGTGTGGAGGAGCTTCGGGTAAAGTTGGTGTACCATCACGGATCAGAGTCGAACCTCGAAACCCAGACTTAGATAGCCAACGGAGAACTTTCGAGCTTTTGGCCTTACATAGTTGGTCTATCTTCGATTGTTTGAACATGTTTGGGCCCGGTTATTGAAGAAGAGAGTAGCTGCCTTATGCCAAAGCCAAAGGATCGGAGGACTTAGCACGTAGATCATGATACAGAGATACAAGTGTGCTAGCTGGCTTGATCCTTCCTGTATAACCTACTTGCTGAGTCCCCTGTTCCGCTGCATAAGCCTTGTTGTCACAAATCCCTTTCATGGCTATAAAGCCCTACCATCACACCATGAAACTTAACAAGAGCCTATACACTTCTACGACAGCGCTATCAACGACCCCATGTAACAATATCGACAACCCTAGACCCTAAACCATATACTAGTTCTCCAGAAACTACAAAGATTGGACAATGCGCATTCAAGGTGGTCCCAATCCATCTTTTGCGGCTCTGGCGATGGCAGGACATGCCAAGCATGAAAGCAAGTACTGAAAGCAATTACATTCCCACTTGGGTGGGTCGTAACCCTAAACCCTTAACCCCAAACCCCTAAGCCCCAGACCGTGTAATCATACTATTTGAGTACATGGACCCTTGGGGTAGTCTTAGTTTGGGAGCTGAGCGCGCTTTTGAAGTCTCTGCGTAAAGGATCATGGGACTTAGGAAGTAAGGATATAAGCACCTGAAGTTGGATTATACTTATAGGTAGAGTCACTTAGTTATAGTTACTAAGTCAAGATCCTCCAAGCAGTGGTGAGGCCCGAAAGCCGCTTGCCCTTAGTTTCCAACATGGTTCCTTTTCTGGCTGCTGAGCGTTAAAACCTCGCCATACCAATGGCTAGCCAAGCTAAGGACCAACGTTGGAAATTGTGGGTATACCCTCCATACTGCTTCCCTGAACCCTAAAGAATAGGCCCTAAACCCTAAACCCTAATGCTTCATTTTGAGGAGCCCGGAAACTAAAGCCCGCACCCCAGCCAGCATCCCGAAATCCTGAGAACCTGAACACACAGCCCTTTGAAGACCTGTGGCTTAGGGTTATAAGGTCTTTTGGGGTTTAGGGTTTAGGGTTTAGGGTTAATCAGAGTCCTGCGGTAGCCTATCCTAAGCCTCTTCATGACATGGAAGTGCTTTCCTAAACCTTGCTGTAGCCCTAACCCTAAACCCTAAACCCTAACACTAACCCTACACTCACCCCGGCGATGTGTCATGTTAGGGGTCTCGGAGACTTGGGTTAAGGCTTTAGGGTTTCGGGTTTAGGATCCAAGAGGTATGAGGCCATGGTGTCTTGCGCTGTTTCGTTGTGTGGTTACCGTAGTAGTGTGAGCGGTACTGCCCCGAGCCTTATATCCGGAAAACCCTAAACTCTACAAGCCCTAAGCCCTAAACCCCGAAACTCTACAAGCCGTAAACCCTAAACCCTAAACCCTCTATGCCCTAAGCCTTAAACCCTAGAAGCCCTAAACCCCTGAACCCTAAACCCTAGAAGCCCTAAACCCTACTTCAGGCTCTTCTGACTCAGTCTGATACTGCTTCCTGTCGGATCCGCCTTGCCACTGCTTCGAGCCCCCTCATGCTTGCCGACCTGACCCACGGTTTAGGGTTTAGCGTTTAGGGTGAACGGTGTAGGGTTTAGGGTAACGCTGTACTCCCAAAAAGACATCCTCGTACCCCAATCACGAAACGGTTATATGGCTCCTGCTTCCTAGCATCCGTGGAGCAGGATTTGCGGCGGCGGGTCTGCGGCAATGTCATCGTCGACCTTGAATGCCTGAAGCAGCACACGGTGTACAAGAGCCTTTCCTGGGAATTCAGCTGCGTAAACGATCACAAGATCTTCCGCAAGTATGTTGCAATTAGGCATGCAGAAATGAGTAGGATAAGTCCGTTCCAACCTCTGGCCAACAGCCCTAAAGCAGACTTTGTACATATAGGGACGAAGTTGGGGCCCCCATGTTGCTTCAGAAAGACTACGGTTTCTTTGCATCGGATTGTTTCGAGCTTGTTTGCTCCAAGGTACAGAGCTCGCCCGGGGCAACAGCACCCTTACCCCCGTATAACCCTCACAGTAGCCCTGATGATTGATTGAAAGTAACCCCTACAGTATATCTAGATGTACCAAAACCCCTAAACCGTCAGAGAACCCTTATAGTAACCTGTCGGTGCAGGGTTACAGGCTCAGGATTTGGGGTTTAGGAGGGCCCTTAACAGCCAAGCCTGCAACCTAAACCCGAATCGCATCGTAGCTTGCAGCGACCTCACTTTGTGGAGCCGTGCATATCCACAGACCATCTATCTTCGTTTCCTGAAGCCCTGCACCCTAAACCCTTCGTTTCCTCGCCCTTGACTCGCTCTGCACCGGTCAGGAACTGTACTGAGACGGACATTCACATCGTGCACCTGTGGCAGGCCGGTTCAGGGCTTATAGGGTTTAGGGGCAGAAGGATTGTTTCAACGCGACGGCTTCAGGACTTTGCTTGGAGGGTCGGGAGACTTAGTAAGTAGGTAATAAGTAGACTTACAAGTACCCTAAAAGGGACCCTAATTGGGGTTATAGTACTTCTAAGTCTATAAAATCACCATTTACTACGTCCCCCGACCCTCCAAGTGGGGACTCTGGTGTGTTACAGGCACCCTGCAGGCGTGCGCCCTAACTCCGAACAAGCCCTGATGCTGTAAACCCCCTAAACCCTAAACCCTAAACCCTAAAGGTCCATGTACCCAAATAGTAGATACTTTGGCTTTGAAGTAGTCCCTGTATAGGTACTTTGGGGCCAAAGTATATACTGTTTGGGTACATGGACCCCTAGGGAAACCCTTAACCAACCCTAAACCACAAACCCCAAACTGCCTGTAAACCCTAAAGAGCAAATCGCCCGACGGGGGTCTACAGTAGGTCCAGTAGGTTCGAGATGTCAGGATTGTCCTGGAGCCTTTTCGTGCAGTTCTGTAAATTAACCATCTGTGCCAGGAATGTCGTCCGAGACCCTAAACCCTTAAGCCGATGCCTTGAGCCTTGCCTAAACCGCTAAGCCTAAACTCTACCTGGACCCTAAAGAATCTACCTTTTTAGGGCTCCCAATTGTGACTTCTTTATATAAGCCCTTAAAGAGGTAGGTCGGTTCAAACTAAGGTAAACCCTGAAGCCGAATTTCTTGCCAAGCGGTGCAGGTCTTGGAGGGGTTCTCACAGCAGCAACGGCGCTCCTTTCTCAGTGCCTCGGTTCAGGTGACGCTTGAGAGCCTGCAGCGGCGGACTTATTAACTACACCTTAAACTACCGAACCCTACGTTTTTGTAGGTTCCGATTATACACCCGAATATGGAATTTATAGGGACCCTACAAGAAATTAGGTTTTGGTAGGTTAAGGCAAGCTTGTCTAAATGCAGAGCCCAAGCCTCTACACGATTTCTAAAGCATTACCAGGTGACCCGATACCCTTAACTTCTGAGGATCCGGGTCTACCGTATACCCTAAACCCTAAACCCTAAACCCCTAAACCCCAAACCCTAAACCCTAAACCATCCTAAACCCTAAACCCCTAAACCCTAAACCCTAAACCCTAAAGGACAAAAGCCCGGCTTGAGCCGAGGATTTGTCTGGGGACGGTCCTCGCTTCCGGGCGAAGTCTGGGAACGGAGTTTCACCGTTCAACTCCTGCTGCTTGGATGGAACAGGGGTTTAGGGTTTAGGGTTTAGGGTTTAGGGTTTAGGGGGGTTCCTTATTGTAATTATATACCCTCAAACCCTCTTCTGGTTATTAAGGCCCCTATGTTAGGGTTTTCAGGTTTAGGGTAATAGGGTCCTATACGAGTTTCACCGTTCAACTCCTGCTCCTTGGATGGAGTTTTGCAGGGCCTAGAAGGCCTAAACCCCTAAACCCTGAACCCTAAACACTGAACCCTAAACCTAAACCCTAAACCCTAAACCCTAAACCCTGCACCCTAAACCCTAAACCCTAAACCCTAAACCCTGAACCCTACTATAAACCCTAAACCCCGAACCCTAGAGTTTGGCGCTGAGGGCTTTTGGGTTTAGGGTTCTTGTGGCCCTCGAGTTCGGCGCTGAGGGCTTGGGTTTGGGGTTCTTGCAGGGCTTCATACGGGCTGTAATGTAGGGGTTTTAATAATTAGAACAGGGTTTTGGGGGTTCCTTATTGTAATTTTTTACCCCCAAACCCTATTCTAATTGTTACAGCCCCTATGTTAGGGTTTTAAGGTTTAGAGTAGTCTCACCGTTCAACTTCTGCTGCAAGGTTTTTGCAGGAGCTTTGCGATCATAAGAGTTCTATAAGGCTGGTGTAGGGTTTTGCTCAGGGTTCAAAAACCCACAGGGTCCGAGTACCCAAACAGTAAGGTTTTGGGTCCCAACACCCATGCTCTGACTGGTTTTTGGACCTTGAAACCCTACTATTTGGGTACTTGGACCCTTAGGGTAAGAGAGCGTGTTCAATGTCCGACCAGGTTCCTTTAC